ACTGTCCCCAGATATCATTGCACGAGTACATCCATAGACGTACTTGCGCTATGTTCATGGCACTAGGACCTTGCAGAGAGCATTGAAATAATGCTCCCTGCATGTCCTGCCCTCCCTCAGGCTGTCCTTCATAGGCGTGCGCAAGGGGTGTGCCGGGTGTGCCTGGGCACACCTTAATCCTCGCGGCACGCCTATGGAGTGAAACCGGCACACCCACTCATGCAGAGCCAGCGCTATCCGAGCGCTGGCTCTGCTCTCAACCTCCCTCTCCACCGACCCACATGCATGGAGGGAGGCAGGAGAGGACCTGAGGAGCTATTGCCGGCAGCTCCGCTGGGTTCCTCTCGCGAGATCTGAGTGCTGCTCAGATCTCGCGAGAGTGAACTCTAGTCCCGCAAACTAGAGATCACTCACCACTTGACCACCAGGGATGGCAGAAAGGATCCCCCCTCCCTACATAAGGTGAGAAGGGAGGGGGGATACTAAGTAATCTGCCCCCACCTCCACTGGACCACCAGGAAGGCAGCAAGGAACAAAAATCCCCACTCCCTACATAAAGTAAGAAGGGAGGGGGGGGATATTAAGTAATGTACCCACACACATACAGCACCCACAGACATACACAGCACCTACACACATACAGCACCCACAGACATACAAAGCACCTACATACATACAGCACCCACACACATACAGCAACCATACACATACAGCACCCCACACACAGCACCCACACACATACAGCACCCACACACATACACAGCACCCACACACACATACAGCACCCACAGACATACACAGCACCTACACACATACAGCACCCACACACATACACAGCACCAACACACAGCACCCACACACACATACCTCACAAACATAGCACACTACCAGCACCCTCACACACACATCACACTAGCAGCACCCTCACACAGCACACACACACACAGCAAAGTATGTGTGTGTGTATATATGTGTATATATATATATATATATATATATATATATATACTTGTGTTCGGTGCTATTCTTGTAATGTAACGTATGTATGGTATGGTGTAACCATAGGTATGAACAAGTCGGTTGAAGTGTGCCGAAACCGACGTATGCGGTTGGCCTGTAATAAAGAGGGCCCTCCCTAGATATAAAATAATAAATTAAATTGAGTTGAGGGAGTGGTGGGTGGGGCGTGCCGAATTCAAAACTCCACGGTGATGCAGAAAAAGGGGGGTGAGTTTAAATAGGATCACCACGCCCCTCCCACAACTCCAGGCAAACCTTTACATTTGTGTTCGGTGCTATTCTTGTAACGTAACGTATGTATGGTATGGTGTAACCATAGGTATGAACAAGTCGGTTGAAGTGTGCAAAGAAAATACCTCAAGATGACAGTTTAAGAAAAGCCATCCTAATTCTAACACAGGTTGAGGTATATACAAAGCAAATGCTGAGGACTTCCAGCGGCCTAAAGACTTGATTACATGTACTGGAATATTTTGGCTGGAGGCTGTGGAGGCTGCCCTTATCCAAAAGGAATGGCCAGAAAAGTTGCCAGCGTTCAGACCTAGTCTGGTCAGTAACATGCGGACGTATTGCATGAATTTGGGGGATGTCAGACTTCGGTGGTAATGATTGGAGGTATGTATCCAATACTTTCACCGGGCACCATTTGTTTGCAGTAGGATAATCTGTGACTGGTACTATCTTGCCCAGCTGGCTTTTTTTCGTAACTGGTAGTGACAAGATATAATGATCATGTAGTTTGGTGAGATGGGACCGTGTGAGGCAGATTTGTACGTATTTGTTTCCGTGTATGGTAAACTCGCCAGGTCTAAGAAAACCATAATATGCCAAGTAGATGGCTGTTTTGATTACCGTGTTTGTATAGTGTTGAAATGGGGCCGTGTCCAACAAGTCGGACATATCCCTAAATAGCTGCTTATGTACTGGTAATCTTGTTGATGGAGGAGTAGTACTGGATTTCTGTACGCCTTTAAGAATGTTTTTAATGGGGTAAGAAGATAAGAAACTAGAGTTATCTGGGTATAAGGTATACATGTGGTGTTGTATGCCGGTTAAATATAATTTGATGGTGTTGTGTGACAGTTTTAGATGACAAAACGAAACAAAAGCTACCCGTGTGGAAATGGCAAAAAACTGCACCAAGTTGTGTTCTATCATAAACCTCTTGTATAGTTTGAAGGCCCTATCGTAAGACCGTTTAGTATTGTCGGACAGGGCTAGACTAGCCAAGGCGAGACTATGCCTTGCCAATTCTTTCAGTCCATCACCAGCTCCTGAAAACGTGGTGCTGCAGTGGCTGTAGGGGAGGCCATGGCTAACGTCTCTCTGAATGCCTGGAATTCAAAGCGAGACAACTTGTCAGCTGCAGTATTAAAGACCCCTGGTACATGAGAACACACCAAATAAAAGGGATTGCAGGCAGCCAGCCAGGTCAGTCTTCTCATGAATCTCATGATCGTTAGAGACTCCGAACGGCCTTTGTTTATGATGTGGCAAGTAGCTTGGTTGTCGGAAAAACAGCATACCGAGCTACCTGCCCAAGACAGCCCATTTACTAGATAATGTATAACGGCCTGGCCTCTGCAAGTTTAACAGCGGCCAACTTAAAATTTCGGATGTCAAATATTTTTGGGCTGCTTTTTTACCCGAACGTGAGTCTTGTGAAAAATAATAGACACCTTTCCATTTTAAACCATGCAGATGCCATAGTGACGGGTGAATGGTAGTAATTTAAATGCATTGACGATGTCAGTTTTACTGAGCCATGCCCATATGCTAGCTGTGATTATGGTGTGTATAGCGTGGTCTATAGTGGCGTACTGGAGTGAAAATTCCTCGGATGGAATTAGGGAATTAAGGCTTGGTATGGCCAAGGAGTAAGGTGCTGATAGGTCTAAAAATAAGTCTGTGTTTCCCTGAGGATTTCCCAGTGACTAATCCTATGGGGTTGGTTCGCCAATTTGAAAATGGGGGTTCGCAAAAAGGTCCCAATAAGAACCCATCCTCCAATTCTTTGTGTAATAGAGCATCGATCATTTCCACGTTTGCAAATGCTGACTGTAAATTGTTGCATTTATAAATGCCTGCAGGGGTATGAACCAACCCTGTATGGAATCCCTCCGTGAAACCATCTATCAAAAGTCCACTAGGTGTTTGGATGGGTGGAGGCTAATATGTGCGCCAAAGAACCAATCTTTACGGATGTCAAGTATGGTTTAGTATGACTTTTATTGGGACACATAGACTTGGCGTGTGCCCTAAAAGCAATGTGAACACACATGTAACAACCTGCAGGTACTATAACCACAGGTACCTACGTTGAAGTTATTACAAACCTGATATGTTCCCAGGTAAAAAATAGGGCGACCAAGTTTGTCCTTGCCAGATCTGTCCAACCTGGTCTGTGGTTCATGGAAAGTCCCAGATGTGGACTCTGGCATAGTGGGACAATAGTCCGAGGAATGTGATGTTGAAGCACAAACAGCACAAGCTGGTGTCTTGAGATCGGAAAAATGTGTACAAAATAGCTCAGTATCCATGCGGCTCCAGTCAGTTTTGACGTTATACTGAGCCAATATTACAGATGCTCTTATCGAAAAGAATTGGTGATAGTCATAAAAGGATGACCCACCATATTTGCTTCCCAAGTCCACCAGCTTGTGCCTGTAGAGATCGAGTTCCTCTCGTCTAGGCAGATAAACAGAACAACGATATATACCAAAAACCAAGACAAAATCAGTTATGGACAGTTTCTTATTCAATCTAGGGTCCCTAGCTTTCAACACCACCGAAATATCACCATAAGCATACGTGTGGTTATCAATGACATCGTGAGAAGCAATAAGTAACGCCACAAGATTGACATCCTTCCCCTCCAAGATGTCTTTCTTAATCTTATTTGGGACCATATGCACAGGATTGATAATGTGAGTTTCGGAACCAGAAGGCACATAATTACCCGATTGCAATAGTGAGCATTGGGGAGTAAGGCAGTCGAGGGCCTGGAAGACTTGACAGGAGGGCTCCGAGCCTCGATCCTATCCAGTCTATCGTTGACCTTGCTCATGGATGCTACTAGTGAAGCGACCATGGCTTGTAGGTTCAAGTTGCCTGTACCAGAGTTATCAGTATGAGACCGCATTAATTTGTAGAGCTCAGCTTTCCTGGCCGTGGCAGGCAAAGGAATGCTGCGTCTCCGGAGTTCTGCAGTAATGGGAGGGATGGTCCATGACCTTATTGAAGTTGGACTCCCAATGTCGCCTTTACGAGCAGGTGACAAGGATCTGGATGGAGAACTGGGTAGAGACAAATTGTCTGTGTCATCCGGTAGATGTGACATACTAAAAGAAATTAATAAAACCATCAGCCATTGTACCATCTTTTGGTTACTGGCTGGCTAGCTAATGCCGGATGGCGAAACAATTTCCTAGGTGTGGTGACAGGTGAGGCCCTGCTAGTTGCCAAGTGGCGCGAGGGAATTGTTGCCACCGAAACATTGTGGCGGGGTGTTGGCCTCTCGATGATGACTAAAACGCATTATATAGAATGGGAGTGACAAGTGAGGCCCTCTCAATGCAACCGTGCGAGGCGGCTAACTATGATTTGGCCTGAGGGGCGAATGTCCTCAAGCGTGGAGGAAATGGGTTGGCCTCGCGGGACCACTACTACTAAGGCGAAGAAGCCCGGATAATTTACTAGTGGCCGCCTATCCTAGATAAGCCAGTAACACTAAATCATAAGCTGTAAGGGGTGAGGAGTGGGGGGTGTTTAGGCAAAACGTACCTGAGACCCACTTGTTGTTAGGTCAAAAAATTAGGTCACAACCAAACAGAGAACTTGAGACTTCTACCACTAATCTAATGGAAGCAAGGTTTATACCTAGTGATAGTAGCGAGGAGTATATGTTATACATAGTAATAAACGTACTTTCCTTTAATGCTGAGAGTACCCCTTACTTAACACCTTACTTACTGGACAATGTTAAATAAAGATTTGATAGTAATGAACGTAGTTGATATTTGTCAACTTGAACCTGAAAAGTAAGCATAGAGAAATAAGTAATGTGATCTCTGATACTAGCTTTTGTAGATTAATGCATGTAAAGCATGTGAACACATTGTAAATCCAAACACAGCAACACGAATATGTAAGCGGCCGCCCTCCTTTATCGCGTAGTGCGTATCTTAGAATATGCCCTACAGTCACGTAGTAAAGTGGCATGAAATACCGCCGCATGTCGAACCACTCGTGCCATGGTAGTATATAACACCGTAGTATGCAACAAGTCATATAGTATCATGGCATACTGTAGCATGTAACGCAATAGAATGTAACACCATTTGAACTGTAGTGGTAAGCCCAGTAGTATGTAATACCGTAGAGCCGCCTAGTAGTGTGTTACATAGCAGTATGTACTACTGTAGTTCCGTACGTAGAATGTAATGAGCTATACGGTAGTATGCAGCAAGTAGTCTGTAATAAAAGTATACAGTAGTATGTGATAAGTATAACATGTAGCCAGCAGTATGTAATAAAAGTATGCCTTAGAATGCAGCCCAGTTAGTATGTGATAAATATGTAATAGCATGCAGCAAGATAGTATGAAATAAGTATACTTTAGTATGCAGCTTAATTAGTATATAAGTATATAGTAGTATGCAGCAAGTAGCATGAAAATAAGTATACATCATCGTGCAGCTCAGTTAGTCTGTGCTAAGTATACAGTAAGTATGACAAAGTATACATTAGTATACAGTAGTAAGTAGTATGACATAAGGTATACAGTAGTATGCAGTAAGTAGTATGACAATGTCTACATTAGTATGCAGTAAGTAGTATGACAATGTCTACATTAGTATGCAGTTTAGTTAGTATGTGCTAAGTATACAGTAGTATGCAGTAAGTAGTATGACATAAAGTATACAGTAGTATGCAGTAAGTAGTATGACAAAGTATACATTAGTATGCGGTTTAGTTAGTATGTGCTAAGTATATAATAGTATGCAGCAAGTAGTATGTCATAACAGTATACATTATGAAGCCCAGTAGTTGTACTGTGGTATGTGATACAGTATTTACAGTTTAACTTCCCCAGCAGCATGTAAGCTTCGTTTTAGTAGTGTACTAAGTAAGCTGAAAACGAAACCTGTCAGCAGTGTGGAGACCTGTGTGGTCTCTGGCTGCTCTGTCCGTTCGTTTTACTGCCAGCCCCCCCCCCACCCCTATGGACCATCCGGCGTGTGGCAGATGGTGAGGGGACCGGAATATGCAAGACTCACGATTTTAGTGCCCCACAAGCGTGTGGGAAAACAGCAGCTGTAAGCCGATCTGAACGCACAGACTGCGAACAGGAAGTGATCGTAACCCGGCAGTCCGAAACCGGAAGTGATGCCTGCCGAAGTCAAAACTCCACGGTGATGCAGAAAAAGGGGGGTGAGTTTAAATAGGATCACCACGCCCCTCCCACAACTCCAGGCAAGCCTTTACATATATACAAATATATACATACATACATATATATACGCAGCATGTGCTTGTACTTTAGGGTGCACACCCTAATGCAATAGGCTGCGCACGCCTATGCTGACCTTCCATTAACTCGGAGGCGGACATTCCCCCTTTATGAGCAGCTCTGCCCCTTTGGGGGTTTATCTACTGACATAATCACATCACTGGCCCTCACCCTTTACCTCCCTCCCACCAGCATCCCATTTCTCAAGATGTGTTCCCGGAACCCTGCCAAGAGAATATGCTCAGAAGAGGGATCACAGGAATACTATATGAAACTAGTTAGAAATGCTTTTTTGGCATAAAGCCTTTTTTGTCTAAACTGCATAAATATCCTTGCCCATAACCTATGCATGCTAATCTGGAACCGTAAATCATACAGAAGTCAGGATTTCCCAAACACATGCCATTGTCTGAACAGAATGACGTCATGCCACTCTGTTCCTATAATCCCATAATTCCTTTAGACTTACCATACCAACCACAGCACATGCTGTGGCTCCTGTGTGTGAGAGCAGAAAGGTCTCCTATAGGTGTTCTATTCCTCTCTTCTTTATCAATCAATTCCTTGGCATATAATTAATGCAGATTAATTGATTGACAGGTGGGATACATTTTTAAACATATTTTTTTTTCCCCTAACCTATACATTTGCTAGAAAAACTGCCAGTGAAATACATAGATAAAATGCTGTGCTCTTTAAAAGAGTAAAAGTAGTTTGAGGCATGACAGGTGCCCTTTAAAAGACCAGGAGATGATGCCTGGCCCAAGCAGCTTGTTAATTCTAATTTGGGTACTAATCCATGGAAAAACATCCGCTGCTCCAGACCTTTAGCATACCATGGGATGGGGAAGTCTTTTATAAAATAATGTCTCCATGTCACCCAAAATGCCACATAAACCAAATAGATCCCCTACATGTTTTTACAAAATAAGATTGAGCAAGCAATTTCTCTGTGTAGAATTGGCTATCTCGCTGACACTTGAAAGGTTAAAGACTCCTTGCTTATTAAAAGTTGCCATTGTCTGGAAATCTGTTCATAAACAGGACTATGCATAGGACACAAGGTCATGCATTTAGACTGGAAAAAGGGAGATTTAGTCTAAGGCAGCGTTTTCCAATTGGTGTTCCGCGGAAACCTAGGGTTCCGTGAGAACACAAATGGGGTTCCGCAAAAATGTATAAAAACAAAATGGCTGCAGGCGGCGAGGGAGCAGTGGGCAGTGATCTCGCTGCTCAGCTCCCTCGCGCGCACAGCAGTGATGCCGGAGCCTGAATATGATGCTCCAGCATCACTAAGAGGTGCATGAGGGAGCTGAGCAGGGAAATCACTGCTCCCTCGCCGCCAGCCGCTCAGCAGCACCAATGGACCCCAGGGACCGCACACCAGCCACTCAGCAGCCCCACTGGAACCTAGGGACCGCATCGCTCAGCCCAGCAGCCCCACAAGGATATAGAGACTCCATGCCAGTACTCCCAAAGGTAGGGAGGCTGGTTGGAGTTAAATTTAAAAAAAAAAGAAAAAAATTGTATGTGTGACTGTTAGGGAGTTTGTATGTGTTTGTGTGTCTGTCAAAGAGTATATGTGTTTTTGACAGTGAGAGTGTATGTGTGCTTGTCAGTGAGTTTGTGAGTGTGTATGTGTTTGTCAGTGAGAATATATGTGTGCTCGTCAGTGAGAGTGTATATGTGTTTGTATGTGTGTCTGTAAAAGAGTGTGTGTTTGTCAGTGAGAGTATGTGTGTCTGTCAAAGAGTATGTGTATTTGTCAGTGAGAGAGTAAGGGTGTCTGTCAAAGTGTGTGAGTCTGTGTGTGTATCTGTGTGTCAAGGTTTGTGTATGTGTCACTGTGTGTATCTGTGTGTGTGCCAGTGTATATCAGTGTGTTTGTTTGTGCCTATGGGGACTAAAAATTAAATTAATTGGGAACCCCTGGTCTAAGGCAAAGGAAAGGTTTTTACAGTAAGAACAATAAGGATGTGGAATTCTATGCTTGAAGAGGTGGTTTTATCAGAGTCCATACAGATGTTTAAACAGCAATTGGTTAAATACTTACAAAAACATACTATAGAGGGACATCATTTCTAATTAGTGGGGTAACAGCTTCTTGATCCAAAAAGATATTTGACTGCCATTCTGGGGTCAAGAAGGATTTTTTTTCCTAGTATGGTACCATATTGGATGTGCTTCAGACTGGTTTTTTTTTGCCTTCTTTTGGATTAACAGCAAAAATAAATGCGAGAAAGGCTAAACTTGATACACGTTTTTTCAGCAATGTAACTATGTAGCTGCAATTTCGTAGGGGAAAGGATAAGACCATGGCAAGCTGGCAAATAATCACCCAAAAATCAAGTGAATGGTAAGCTCTCACTTGTGTTTCTCAACACTTTACACAAGCACAATATTTAGATATTATTTACATGATACTTCACTTATAGATTTAAATAAACTACATTGCCAGGTGCCAATGAAGGCTCTAATTTGTTTTCTTTTATAATTCCAGATTTTTTAAATCTTAATGTAAACAAAACAGAAATGTAAATAAGGGCAAAAAAAAGAGGAAGATATATAATTTGTCTAAAATAACAACAAAAACAAAGGGGTCCCAAAGAAAGGAAATGGGAAAGGAAATAGGTGTGGGGAGGGTTAAAATGGGCAAGAGGCTTTTAAGGGATTCAGAGAGATAGTCAGGTTTAGAACAAATTCGGAGGTTGTGCAGATATATGTAAGCCCTAGTGCGGGAAAGACAACATTTGGCACTCCAGATGATGTTGACTGCATCCCGGCCAATTTGTGAAGTAAGATCTATAAATATAATTTAATACTTATGTCAACAATCACAAATCAAGGAAAGCTATACACAGCTCATCCGTGTTCAATTTCCCAGTGGATGGTCCATTAACAGTTTGAATTAATGGATTGCCATTGATTGGTAATCTCTATGGACAATGCCCAAGGATCCTAAGATAATACTGATTTCCCTGGGGATCCAGAACCATTTAATTACAATTCATATTTCTGTGTTCTCAGTAGAGGTATTGCAAATAACGTGTTGATTCATGAGCCTTGTGGACTGTAGGCCTATTGCACCAGGTAGTTGAGGTTTGTAGATGCTGAAATCCTCCTGCTGAGCTATATAGTTTCTTTGATCTTATATTTTTATGCACACATGCGCAGTAGACTAATTGCCATTTTATTTATACGATGCTCTCCCATTAAAGATTGAGTAGATGATTTTGAACTACAAACAAAGTGAGACTGTGGTTTTAATATCGGTTCTTCCGAGCGCTCGTATATCTAATTAGGAGCCCCTGGTTATCTCTGGGATGATTTATCCGTTATAAATTTCTATATCATATCCCAGAGGAACTTTGTGGTGTGTATGTGGATTCTTATCCTCTCTAAAATGTCATGTTTCCTGGGTTACAAGTGATGATCACATGACGTGGGAGACCCATAGGAAAGCATTGATTCAGTGATACAGCTCTTGTCGTGCATGTGCATTAGGGCCCCTCCTCTATGATTATCATTGGTTTTGATCCTGTCAGTTAGACCCTGCATTCTCAATGACAGCATCAGGTGAACAGTGCTGAGGGAGGGAGGGAAGGAAGGTAAAGAAGGGTTTTTAACCTTTTCACAGACTAACATGGGGGGAGGGCACCTAATAATAATAGGGACAGGAACACTATAACGTCAGGAAAATAGAT